GACAAAGAAACCTTGGAACCCAGAACTTGGGAAAGCACATTGGCCTGTCCAAGGTCAGGCAACTCATTTCAAGCAGCAGCAGGATAGGAACCCAGATTCTCCATCCCTGAATTTGAATGCATGTCTTCACAGCCTCCTCAGACTCCAGACGTAGGCAAGAAAGAATCTCATTCTCCACCCCCACCCCCATCACCACTACAACCACTTCAAGACAGTATAGGATTAGAGCAGAGTCTTTGAAGTCAGCCCCGGATGCGAGTACCGGTTCTTGCGATTTTTAGCCCTATGGGCATGTTACCTTGTAATAGTCTGAGCCTCAAGTTCCTCATCTGTATAATGGGAAAAATAATACCCTCCTTACAAGATTGTGATGAGGGTTGAATTAGATTGTGTGTGTCAGACTTATCGTAGAGCCAGGCACGCAGTTAACTACCATGTTCTAGGTCTGCCTGTATGCTTCTCTCCTCCCTCCGTCCCTTACATACCTAGAATGGGTCTTTGATAAATAGTGCCTTCCCAGTAATGATTTCCTGAGAAAGCTCCTAGGCGTGGAGAATGGATTTGCTAGAAATTCTCTTGTGTGGCCGTGGTTTGCATCTGTTTCCATCTGTAGGCAGGGCCCCTTGGATCCTCTTGGAGTACGACTTCATACACTTGCTCTAGGCTTGGACTCCCCTTTTCAAATGAGCTTTGCCTCTCTTCACGTTGTCTGCAGTAGATGATTGCGGTAACCTGAATGTGTTACTTAGAATCAGACATTTCACAACGATGTCTTTCATTATGAAACTGTGTCTCTTTATCTGTATTCTTTCTCTTTTGCATAATGCTGTGCACATCATTTTCCTGCACAGTGACCTTCTGAAGAGTCTCGATTTTCTCTCCCCATTGCAGCTAGCACTTCATGTTTGGAGTGTTCTTTCATCGATTTCCCTTTGTATTAGGAGATACGAACCTCCGTGGTGTGATGATAGTTACATGGGCCTTTGTCTCGTTTAATAAGATCACTTAGCTGAACACTTGGCTTGAGCCTCTCATCCTGGGGCTGTTTGAAGTGCTGCCTGCACACATGTGGAAACTGTATGTATTTGATCTCCATGATTGCACGAGACAATTTTATGCAACGTTAAGTTCCTTGTTCTACTTCCTGTTGCAGGGGGGTTTTTTGTGTGTGGTTTGAAGTAACGTTTGTTTCTTATGCGGTGCTTACTTTCTTTTTTTCGGAAAGGCAAATTGTGTTTCTAAAAAAGCATCCGAATGAAATTTGGAGAGGAAAAATGATGAGGTAAATTTCTGTTAGGTGGGGGTGACACATGACGAAAAAAATCAGACTTGACTGGTCTTCCCGTTAATTTAGCTCAAATGCCATGTGTGTTTTTAGTCCGTCAGGTAATTTTCCCGATGCTGCAAACTGCCCTTTGCGGCATACAAGATAGAGGAATGCTTGTAAATGAATGGCAGCAATTATTATTCAAATGAGGGGGTACCAACCGGGAGAAGCACAGCTTGGAGGCTTGTTACCGCGTGAGATTTAATTGCATTGTATATTTGTGAAGATTTCTAAATTTTAACATAATGCAATAGTAAAGCTCCCTTGGAGGAGAAAAATGGTACTTCGAAATTCCAGTTACTGAACTTAGTGAGCCCACTGATGCACATTTCTTCACAATAGAGGGCATTTATTAACGTTTTGGTTCTGGGATGTGCCCTAAGGGGCTTTTCCACCACATCAGTATTCATGAGCATTGTTAGAAAGTAGCAGTTACCTGCCTCTATTAGAGAACCATCTTCTTGGAAGATGCGGAATTTACTGTTTATTTAAAGTGGAGGGTCCAGTGTCTATATGCCCTTGCAGGAGGAAAAACAAAGATCAGTTTAAGACTTAGGACTGCTCCAGTTGTTTTGATCAGCTTGCCATGTTTTCATTTTTTGGATTTTTAGGTGTGTGTGTGTGTGAGTGTAAAAGAGGTCCATCAGATAAACGTTGTTGGATTATGAAGAAGTTAATCATGTCTAGTCTTTTATAGACCCTTTTTCTTTTTAAAAAAAATGCAGCTGATTTAGTAGGTCCATTTTGGAAATGGTGCAGCCCTGCCTGTGAATATCTTAGCGAAGCCATATGTCCCGAAACTGTCCCACCCCCTTGTTTTTGTGTGTCTCAGAGCACTCACCAGATTCTACCTTACAGGTGCTAAGCAGCTTTCCTCTCTTCTTCCCCTTCTGCCCTCCCACAGTCAAGATTCTCTTCCTCATCTTGGAAATTGAATGGGATTAACATCCAGAGTATAGGTACCTTGGTCATTTTTCAGGGTGAGTGAGATTGAGGTACATAGACTCCTGGGCTACCTTCATGGCTAATACTTGCTGTTGAACTATGTCAGGACTGGATTCAGAAGGGCTCTTTCTGATAACCTCTGTCAAAGCTTAGGCCTTTAGAAGACCCAGCAGAGACCCACGAGTGAAGTGTAGAGAATTTGAAGTTCTCAAGGCGAGTACCTCCCTTTTGAAATGGGAGCCTCCTTCTGTTCAACTCACAACTGGCAAGGAGAGACAAAGGTTTCATTCAGGTCACTCCATCAATATCCTACGGGAGGAGAACCCCCCCCGAGCCGAGCTCCCTAAACACAGCATGCTGGACCCGTTTCTCTGATGTTGGGCAACTGTCCAGATCCTGGTGGGGAGGCAAGATCCTGGCTGTCACCCCCACCACCTGGCTGTCCTGGTTACTCTTGCTTTGCTTGAAAATGTGTCCATTTCTCTGTAAAAGTTGAGGAAACAGTCATGCCATATACCTATTGGTAGTCACTAGCCTCTACCTATCGGTAATTAAGTATACCAAGTGGTATTAACTTCCACTTGCTGAGTACCTGATAAGTCCCTGGAAGTTCTAGACACCTTATGTAACTCTCGTTGTGATTTCCTGCTGCCGCTGTGTGGGAGGTGTTGTTATAAATAACATGAAATACATGCGGTGCGTTCACACAGTAGGTGCCTGGGCTCCCCGTGCTGTTTCTGGAATATGCACTCCGTGGCAGCACGATCTCCATCACTCTTGTTCACTAGGATAGTGCCTGGCCCGTGGCAGCTGTCCGATAAATATTTGTTGAACGGATCATAAGAATTGTTAGAGGTCCCCATTTTTACACACGAGCAAGCTGAAGCTCAGAGAGGAGAAGTTTAGTAGTTGAGCTACAGCAGGAAGTCAGTGGCTGAGGCAGGGCCGGAACCTGGACCCGGCTGGCTCCAGCGCAGAGTCTGTGCTCCTCACCCTCCTACTGCTCGCCCTCAGGGGAAGGAATGAGTCTAGTAGGCAGTGGTAAATGCCTGGCAAGTGTCCCGGGATGGGAGAGCCCTTGGATATGTGCTGTTTGTGGACTGGCTGCTTGGGAAGACGGCCTTGCCCCTGGAATCAGGAGCCAGGATGCCACAGTGCCTGAAGCCCACACTGACTTTGGGCCGGCAGCAGGGCCTGGCCCTCTTCCCTCCTGCAGGCTCCTCGGTCATTTGTCCCTTGCAGTCTCTCAACCTTTCATTGATTGTCGGGCCCTGGCTCTCTAGCAGATGCTCTGCCTCCCTTGACAGACTGATTTTTTTTTAAGTGGGAGAGGAGGAGGGGAGGGACAGAGGGAGAAGGAGAGAGAGAATCCCAAGCAGACTACCTGCTGAGCGCAGAGCCCAACATGGGGCTCAATCTCAGGACCCTGAGATCATGACCTGAGCTGAAACCAAGAGTCAGACGCCCAACCCACTGAGCCACACGCAGGCGCCCCTGCCTTGACAGGTTTCTGCTCTGGATCCATAGAATATACTGCTTTTTTTGGTCTATACTATCTAAAGGAACATGCTTTTAGAAAGTCATTTTAAGTGATCAAAATGGATGTGGTAGAAAAAGCACATATACTTTGGGAGACTATGGTAAATTGCAAGCATATACAATTTTATGTCATAGGAACCTCAGCGTACTCCTCTCCTTTGCATCAGTTTGCATGGATAAGACAAATGCTTTCTTTTCTCCATTGCTTAGATAACGAATGAGGTTTGCTGCTTTTCCTAATATAATTTGGCAGTGGTTTTTATGTGTCACCTATATTCAAACTGCTAGGCAGTGTTTCGTAATGATGCCCAACGAGACCTGTAGTGGTGCAAATACCAAATTGACTGACATTGTATTTACATATGGGCTTCTGTGTAAATAGGTGCCCTGTTATCAAACTAGAGTTATGGCGAGAATACCATCTTTCCCTTCTGCCCCATGGTGAAGTCACACAAATTTAAGTTATAGGAGAATAAACTTGGCCATAAAGAAAACCATTTTACCCCTTCAACCAAAGCAATATCCCCATTCTGAGTTGTTACTTGAATAAAACTCATGTTCTTTCATCCTTCTATCAAGGTCATTGTGTGTTTAAGAATTCAAGAGAATGCTTCCCAAGGTTCTTTTATTCTTTGTGTTTACGATTGATTTCTTTTTGTTTATAGAATCACAGGGGCCTTGGGAGATAAATATTAGGTACCTGCCTCAGGCAAGACTATATTCAAGTCATCCTCAAATGGTCACACATTCTCTTCTAGAATGTCTTAAGAGACGAAAGCATCTTTGGGACATTGTTACAATGGATCATTTACTTGGGAAGTTTTTCCTAATATCTCACCTAACCTCTTTCTCTTGTGGTCTTGTTCAGAAGAATAAAAGGAGTTGAGTTCAAAACATCTCTTTTTTTTTTCTGAGTTTACAAAGAGTGTTTTGCTCTATAGCTTTCCCCCTCAGGGTTGAATAAATATTGGTATTAATGTTAGTGTTTATGACACTGGGGTGTCAAAAATGATCAGTGCACTTTCCCTTCAGTGCTTTAGAGAAATGAAGAAAAGGGAACAAAAGCAGGTTATGACTCACTTCAAGGCTGTCAGGATGCTACCAAGTGGTTGTGGCACCTTGAAAATGGATTTACTTCATTACGGCTATGGAAACTATTTTGAATTTATTTTTCGTGGTTTATTTTTAGGTGCATTTTGACCAATTTAAAGAAGCATTAATACTTATCTTGTCTAGAACTCTGTCAAATGAAGAGCACTTTCAAGAACCAGGTAAGGGCACTCACTAACTTTTCTTCTCTACATTCCTCTTTAAAAATTGTCCAGGGAAGAATTCAGGGACCTTGAAGCATGTCTGTGAAAGCTTTGGGTGTCTGTCTGCCTTTTACAGATTGAACAGTTATTTTCAGTGACTTGTCTTTTGATATTATCCTAAAAGCCTTGCAGCTGTTGAACACTAAAATGAGTCTTCCCTGCCACAACAGTGTATTATGGAAGAAATAATTGGATTGTTCCTAGGCAATATGTCAGATCATGCACCAGTAACTCATTCCTGGAATGAGCAGAGTGAAGGTGGATGGTACTTCCTTCGTCCTACTTCCTGTGTATGGGGAAGGATCTGAGTCGGGGGTGGAGGGTGGGTATTTTGCCTGAAAGAAGAGTGGTCAATCTAGAGATAATCTTACTTAGTCCTGGTAGGTGGATAAGACATTATCGCGTTTTATTATAATTGATAATATATATCTCAAGGGATAGTTCTTGAGGACCATGTTGTTCATTTTTGTATTTTCAGTGTTGAGGGGAATGCTTCACACATCGTAAATATTCAACGAATGTTAAAAAACAAAGAATATTACACTTCACTGATTTTTTTTTTTAAAAGCACTGTAGATTATAAGACATCATAGTTTTATGTATCTCTGAAAAGAAAATTTTTTTTTGCCAGTTATAATAGTAAAATGCCATTGATCGTAAGACTTATCCTAATGTCAGAGTGTTCGAATCTTGGTGGTGGGGGGGGTGTCTGCGTGTGTGTTTAGTGTTTGTGTGTGTGTCTGTCATCGGATCAATGAAATACGATAAATACTTAAAGGAGAGTCTAAACAGGGCTGAAATTTGTATTATAATACAGTCCCGTTTTATCAAATCATTGGTTCTCAGATTTGGGTTAGGGGTTGGCTATAAAGGAGCATGAGGGGATTTTTGGGGTGATGAAACTGTTTCATATCTTGATTGTGGTGGTAGTTACAAATATTAAGAGTTTTTCCAACCCATAGAATTGTGCACTAAAAGTGAAATTCTGTGTGAATTACACCTCAATAAACCTGATTTTTTAAAAAGATAACAAAAAATAGTCCAGTTTTTGAGATTGAGGAGAAATCATTAACATTTTGTCGCTACAAAGACTCATTCAATGTGACCTATTTAGATAAAGCACAGATGGGAACTCATTTCTTCACTGGTGATCTAGTTCTTCATTGTACCTTCTGGAATGCTTAAGATTTGTGTCATGTGTATGAACATTGCGTTTAGCAGTATTTTGGATTCCAGATTGAGTCGCCCCTTTCTGCCTCTTGTCACCACCCCTAAGAAGGTTATCTTCAACTCTGAGGCTTGCCAGCGCTCTCTAGAAGCCCACAGTGAGCCTGTGGGGGAGGTTATTGCCTTCTGGAGACTTTCCAGACTACTAATAGAATTACTACAGATGACCACTGCTGGAACATGGGCTTCTCTTCTTACGAGGTTTCACATTTTGTTGGTATTTTTATTTATTTAAGGTTGTCTTTCATCTTGATAACAATAGCCCGAGATCTAGGAACCCTGAGTAGAGCTATGGTGCCATCTCCACATTTTAGTTAATAAGAGCGTCCGTAACCTAAGAATTCAGTTTGTTGCTCTTCTATGTGTTGATCATGTGCTTTTATGTGGGTTTGGAATGGGCAGTCCTGCCACCAGTCCACGTGATCTCTTTGCTGCCCTTTCTTCAAAACCTGTATGATCACTTGCCAGAAAAGGGTCATGCTAAATGCACCGATTTATGGTGACCACAGATGTGAAGGGTACCTCCTAGAGTTGCTCAGTGTTGGGATCTAAATAATAGGATGAGGAGGTAGACAAAGGCTGGCTGAGCTTAGTCATAGCCGATTTATGAATTTATGATTTACAGATCTAGCTCCGGATGGTGGGTTCAGAGTTCTCTGTGTGCCTCACTGCAGTGCAGGTTGAGACCATAATTTGGACAAGTCTTCCAGGACAACACACAGAAGGGATTTTATCATGGCGCTGTGTGCTCCGTCCTTTGGGTAGGCTGCTGCAGACCTTCGTGAGAGAGCTGCCCCAGATCAGGGGAATGAAGCAGCAGAGTACCTATCGACAGCATTTTACACAGCACTTGTGGGCCCTCCCTAATGTTTGGCCTGCAGGGTAAAAGCTAGGATTGAGCCAGCACCTTAAAGAGTGTTCTATCTCTTAGGAGCCAGTGAGTCAGCCCTGCCTCCCACAGTCCCCGCTTTGTTCCTGAGCATCTCTGCTTTTTCTGTCTCTGGCCCAACTCGCTCTGGCCCCTCCAGTTGTTCCTGGGGATCATGCAGTTCTTTCCACGGCAACATTCTCTCACCCACTCGAAAATGCGATTCAACCCCCACGGGCTGACTGGCTTGGCCTGGTAAGCAAGCAACAGAGAAAGAAGGTTCAGGACTCAAACGCAGTATCCAGAGTCCGCCTGAGGTCACTCCCTTCTTCCCCTTTATGAAGATGACTGTCCCCTAAATCCTAGACCATACCTTCGGAGGGCTGGAGAGAATGCTGGCGTTTTCCCCATGAGCACACCGAGGCCCGAAGAGACACGTGGCTTAATTGAAGTCTCACACGTGGTGGCAGAGGAGGATGCTGCCGCTGTGTCACTGGGGGGCTCCTCCTCTAGAGGAAGCTCTGGCTTAAGAATGTCAACCCCCAGATGTATGAGCTGGGGGCACACCCAGTCCTCAGTCAGTGCGGCCTGGCCACAGAGATTCTGACAGTTGGCCAGAGTCAGCAGGAAGGAGTGAAAAGAGCAAGTTTCACCTGATCATTAGTGACAGGAATGCCTGTGTCTGCAGCCTTCTTTGGCTTTTCAGTACTTAGGTCATCCTGTACCATAAGGGCCAGACCTGTGGTATTTTTGTCTTGTCTTTTGAAATCAATGGACCAACTAGACTTTGAGAGGGAAGATTGCCCTTAAGCAATGGAAGGTGACGGAAAGAACAGGGCAACAGTGCACAGTCTTTGAAACAGAATGGGTCACGAATGGATATTTTATAACACCTAAGATTTTTATCGGTTAAAAATACCTGACTCTGTACCAGAGTATAATAGAGAAAGCCCAGCTTGATCTGGTGGGAAAGGCCCTCAAGCCAGGAGGGATAAAATATTGGCTCTGCCTCTCTAATTGGGTGGCCTCCTACGTCACCTCTTCTGTGGTCTTCGGTCACCTCATATGTGAAAGAGGTTGTACTGGAAAATACTTAAAATCTGTTCAGCTCCAAGAGTCAGTCGTGTCATCTCTGAATATCTAAATGACCTCTAAATTCATGAAAAAGACTAGCTTTGTGTTTCTGTCAGATTCTCCCTAACCTAAATTGACACTGGGAAGTTCTGCTTGCTAAGGACAAATGCCTAGTGGACTTCATGCTTTCATATTCCTCTAATAAAAGACAGTTATATGTAAATAAACAAAAACAAAGCTGTATTTGGATTTGGGACGAGGGGTGCCCGGTGGCTCAGTCGGTTAAGTGTCCCAGTCTTGGTTTCGGCTCAGGTCATGATCTCAGGGTGGTGAGATCGAGCCCCACATCAGGCTCTGGGCTGGGCATGGAGCCTGCTTAAGATTTTTTTCTCTCCCTCTCCCCACCTCCTCTCTCTTTCTCTCCCTCTAAAAAAAAAAGAAAGAAAAAAAAAAGAATTTGAGAGGAGATGGAATTAAATCATTTTTTCCATAGACTTGGGTTCTGCCGTTTATAATTTCTCTGAGGTAGTTTCTTTATTTTTAAAATTAGTGTGATTTTCATACTAGATGATTTTCAACATCCATTCTACTCTGATAATTTATGATTCTAAGACTCTTAGGGAAGAGTTTCTCCCCTAAAAACAGCAACAACAACAAAATGAAAAATGCTGGTATTGAGATAGGGACAGGAAAATGGATTGGGGATGTAGGGAATTGTTTTTAAATTCCTAACTGATTGACATCAGTGACGTAATTCCTTCATATCTACATGCACAATTTAATTTTTAAATTATTTTCCTAGAATAAGAGAGGGACAAAAAGTTAATTATTGCTTATTTATTCAATTTGCTCTGCTTTAGATTATAGGATTTTTGTAATGGAAATGCCACCATGGGCCTGAGCTACATGGTATCAACATACTGTCTGGATCTGTTCTCCAGAGATTTTGTCCTTGTTTGATGTATTTTGCATTCGATTTCTGTTCAGTAGTAGGTGTTAGCATAATACTGGAAGCCCTTTCTTTCCCTGATATGGTTAGTGTAAAAATCTTCCCTTTGTTTACCCGGTGAGGGAAAACTGAGATCTGCAAAAGCCAAATCATTAGGAAAATAAGACTATGGGTGGTTTTGGTACAGATGACTGTTTTTTGGGTTTTTTTTTTTTTTTTTTTTTAGATAATATTCCTAATTCCAAGAGCTACCCTAATTTAATTATTTTTCTTATATTTTGAAGAAGCTATAAATATAATAAACAGATATCATTTCATTCACTCACCAGATTTGCAGGGAAGCAGGTCTTATGAGCAGGTATCGGGCTAAAGATGGGTGTTTGCCACTAGATTCAGAGGCCTTGGGCCAGGCACCGAGGTCTGGCTGAGGGCCCTGTTTTTAGGAGATCTACACACAAATGGCCCAAGAGTTGTGTTCTGCTGTGCTCTCTCTGGTTGAATCAAGTAAGTAAGAACTTGGTTCCCTGTTCCCTTGTTGTCTATGAGGACCAGAACAGTGAGGACCAGAACATCTTTCCAAAAGTTAAAAGCAAAATAAAACCACCACCACCACCATCAAAAAAGGAGTGAAGAGTCACTTCCTGAGGTCAGGGGGAATTGGAAACACTCACACCCACTGCGGGTCACATAAAATGATAGGACCGTCCTGGGATTATATGGAACAATGAACAAGCATCAGAAACTATAAAAATTCCTTTGGCTAATCAATGCAGCTCTCAGATTTTATGCTATGGAAATATTTATGGATGTGCACAAAGATGTGTGTATAAGGATAGTAGA